GGGGGGGTGTTGCTCCTGACAAGAAAGCACCCCATAGGTGCTAAGGACTGGTTGCTTTATGGTTAACGTATATCTATTCTTCTCCATACGGGAGCTGGCAGAGCAATCAACCTCTTAGCTTCCCATAGGACTTTGTCTGACATAGAGGGTTTCTCTTCTAATCCTCACCCACTGGTAATTTACAATGGATGACATTCTTATTGATTTTTTTTTCTTTTTCCTCCCCCCCCCCTCCCTGCACTTTTCCCCTGCAAACTCCACTATTGAGGTTTTAGCTGAAATAAAGGACCACTTGTGAGTCTGTATGGAAAGGTGTTTAGTAAAGACACCTCTCAACCTTTAACAAAAATATATATATTTTTTTTTTTCAATTTCTCAGGTGTTCTAATAAAAGGTATCATTTTGGAACCAAGAGTTCTAGATCTTTGCACCTCTAAACCTTAGGCATCTGATATCTGGTGAATATTTCAGTAGGTTTCTTCTTTTTTTTTAAAACAGAGATCTGAAAAAAAAACCCCAAACCCCAAAATCAGTGAGGCATTTAAAAAAAAAATCATATTGTGTGCGTCAGAATAAACCTTCGGATTGTGAGGAGTAATTACAAGTCATCAAATGGGCTTGCTGTAAGTGGACATGTTTTTGTTTCAAAGCTATCCGCTAATCTTCATAGAGAACACCCCGGGATAAGGTATGTGCTGTGTGTTTGATGGGTGCAGGTCTTCACTGCAATGCTTTGATTTAATAGAAGTAAAATGGTGTGAAGAAGATGAGCTCCATAATATTCCCCCTTTTCCAAAAAAATTGCTGTAAGGATCACTTGCTGAAATTACAAGAACGTGCTAACAGCTTTGATCCACTGTAGTATATTTCAGTAGAGTTAGGGAAATTTATGAACTAGATCTGAACAATCTGTCTTTTTGAGTGCTTTTCTGTTTTATGAAATAATTGCTTGTTGAGTGCATTTTGCAAAAGTCTTAAATGTGAGAAAGTGGGGTTTTTCCCCTCCTTATGTGTATCCCTCTTGTTCAGTCTTATTGTTCACCTTTTCCTAAAGGAGCATATTGTCTGTCAGTGGTGGTATTGAGATTTGCATCTACATAGGCTAGGCAGAAGACCACAATGATATTTTTTTCTCTTTAATAATATTCAAATAATAGAAACTGTTGAAAGTGTAACAATTAGTTGAGAGCTGTTAATTTTTTTCAGATTATACCTAATAATTACAGCTTGCAAAGGTTTCCCCTTTTCTCTAAAAAAAAAAAAAAAAAAAGCATCACTGATTGTGGTGGAAGAATTTTTATAATGCAGAAAAGAGTCTTTTAAGTTCACTGGAAAAGAAAAGCATGAAACATCTTTACATAGTTCAAAAGATGAATGTGTAATTTTCTGTTTACTTGAGGTTCAAATTGGCTGTGTAGCAAGCATCAAATACAGGCATATCTTTGCTTCATTATATACTAGTGTTTGGAATGAGAGGCAGAGCAATTTCAATAAAAACATTAAAAATGAGATTGATAAGAGCAAAATATCTTTTTCTGAGCCAGCAGGCTTCTCTTGCTTCGGGGGAAAAGTTGGCGGAGTAAAGAAAAGGTCTGTTTTCTAGAAATTTACCTCATCACTTCCCAGTAACATAAAACATCGACTTAAAAATACCTTGCAATATTCCAAGTAGAATAGGAACCAGGATTATATTAGTGAGAGAGTAAGTTATTTGAAGCTTTGATCTTAGCTGTTGTTCTTTAGTTAACTACAATTGCATAAAGGACACCAAGCTTTGCTAAAAGGATGACATGTCCCAACCAATGCGTGCCAGTCTTTCTGTGGTCAGTTTTTTTTAGTTGAGCAATTAAAGTTTGAAAGGTGGAATAACTTCTTTAAAAAATCATTTCCTACTTTTATCCTTTTGACTCTTTAAAGTGGTCATTATGGAAAGCTTGCAAACTGTGATAGAATTGAGCATTTTGGTGCTGTTGTTACGTTTTTGAGAGTGAGTCCTCTGATGCCTTTTCCTTTTATTGAAAAGAGATTGGTGAGGAGATTAAAAGGCAAGTAGAAATCCAAGCCAACCTATATATTCAATTAGCTCTGCCTAAGGATTTTACAAATTTCTTTTAATTCCTGACTCCACAGGTCTGTTTCATTCACTCAGTTCCAGTCATCTAACTAATTTCTTATAGAAAAAAAGTTCTGTACATTTAGAAAGTGTACATTTGCGTAACTTTGAAAATGCAAACCATGTGACCTTTTGCTAGTGATTCAATCAGATTTCTGTGCATCTGCAGAATTCATTTTTATCCACAGTGATTTTCTTTTCATTTTTTTGGTGCATGACTATATTGCCTTTATCTGATTCTCCTCATGAAATGGTACATGTCTATGGAGATGTTTTGCTGCAGTTCTCCCAATATTTCAGACTATCCAAAATGATGAATATCATGAAAAATCATTCACCAGCCATCTAAGTGAAAACCTAGATATTTCCCTTGCAATCATAGAGAAATTGTACAGTCTGCTGCTGATTTAAAATGTGTACTGTAAGTGACCCTAACACTGGGATTTGGCCAAGTTCAAAGCAGCTGTGCAGATGGACACAGAAGACAGAAGGCAGAGGGAAATAGACCCTTTTAATCACAACAAGGCTGCTCTTGTTTGACTATCTATGGTGGAAATGTATGCCAGGCCCTAGTACTCAAAAGCAAGCCTGCAAATGTGCCAGAATAAGCAGCAATGACATTCTGTTCTTAATAGAAAGTTAAAACTTGATAGGATTTTGCCCTCTAGCTTGTCAGTATTCTCTTCTACTTCTCCCTGTGTGAACTGGCATTGAATTGGTTTAAAAGGTGCACACAGAATTACTGTTGGTGAGACAAGAACTTCTGAATGTGTGTGTTTGCTCCTGATCACTGTTACTAAATTGGATCCATTTCTGTGAAATGATTATAATTGCTTGTAAATTAATTTCTTTTTGGAAATAACTTTTTTTTCTGAAGTTCCTTGTTGCATATAAAAAGAGTTCAATTAACAAGTTGGGGTTGGATATTTTTTTATCATAAAGTTTTTGTGTATTATAGGAGAACGTTATGAATATGTAACAACTGAGCTTAATCCTAGTCCCATTGAAGTAAATGGGAACAGGGGAGTGTTCACACCTTTTTCTGAACAAGTTAGCTGTTCCATTTGCAGTAGGAATGAATGTACAGTACCTGTTTTGCTATTGCATTATTCAACCCAAAGTTTATTGCAGAGATGTGTGTCAAGCTATTGGCATATCCAGACTCTCAATATGTAAAGCTTTTGTTTTAATTATGCAGATTATGGCTACAAATTATCAGATTTTACATGATTTTGTATTAGTTTATCTCTAACTATGTGTATTCATTTTTGTTGAGAAAACCATGTTTACTCGCTAAAAAGTACTGAACAGAAGCAGTTGATTAGGAAATACTATGAATTCTATTTCAGCCCCCGCTGGAGTAATTTTCACACCTGCCTTTTAGGAAACCTTTCAGAGTTTTTTGTTTTGTTTGTTTCCCCTTGGTGAATATGTGAAATGTGCCTGCTATAGTTAGGAATCATTATTTTTAGCCAATTCTGCCTCTATTTAACACAATGCAGTACTCAAGTGCAGATTATATATGTAACTGAAAAATGATGTAAAATGGGTTTGGATTTTAAAAATAAATATTTTTTTACAGGATCTCAGTGGATATACTAATTTTAGATTCTTGCTTTTTTCCAGGAAGGCTGTGTAAGGGAAACATTAGAGTGGTGTGCAGCAGATATTTCGCATACATGTATTTTACATACACTTATTATTTCTTATCTTGTCTACTAACCCTTTGGCACCAGGAATTTGGGTTTACGGATGATACACACCTCTTCAGCATTTGTAAGACTTCACATAGACATACTATGAATGTGCATGTATATCTGTGTATATATTTGTGTACAGTTATATTAATTCATTTCTAAATGAAAACTTATTTACCTTTAAAAAAAATCGTCAAATATATTTACTGGCAGGATGTACGTCTGCATTTTGGGATTCTGATTAACTGATATCAGTTACTGTAATTTATTTTTTCTCTTTCTTCTTTTCTCTTTTTTTCTCTTTCTCCTTTCTTTTTTATAAAGAAAAGCATCTGCTCATTTCAAAGACATGCACCATTGCCAAGCAATCTGGTGTAGTGGCTTAATATGCTAGCAAATAATTTCACAAGTTGTTTGTGTATTTGAGGGCAGTATATATGAATGTCATTATATTCTGAAGTGAAGAATGAGAAACTTATCTGAGCTTATTTAAAATTTTGTAAAAAGCCAGACAGCCTCAAAACCTGTATTTAAAATTTTGTAAAAAGCCAGACAGCCTGAAAAACTATAAAATGCTTTCCATATTTTAAATGGAGTATTTAAATCCTGACATCCTATATCCTACCAAGAGTTCTTGACTTATATTGATAATATGAGATGACACATTTACTTTCAGTACTAACTTCTGAGCATGGTCAATATAAGATGATGTAATAATACTTTCCGAAAGAGATGGGCTCCTGTGAACTAGAGCTGAAAGCATATTATGTTGTAGGTGTCCAGTAGGATTTCTAGGCACTGTCCTTAGGTCACTGCCTTCCCTTTTCCAATTCTGTTATATCCCCTTTGTAGACCATCCATGTTTATATTTGCACATCCTTTGTTCTTAGTCACCCCTCAGATATGTACCCTATACTTCATTTTTTTTCTCCCCAGTCATTTTGATGTCAGTAAGGTCTCTGATCTGATCTGTTCAAAACCACCCTTCCTTGACTCTTTCCACCTCTTGTGTCCCTTGTGTCAATTTATATACTTATAAACCTGTCCTGTTTACTGACCTTACTCCTTCATTTCTTCCTGTACTGTTTAAGTGCAGATTAAAAATGGACCTTCAAACGAATAGTGTACAAACCTGTCCTTCCAAAAACAACAGTATCTGCCCAATCTTCAGATCCATTACAAGAACATGAAATACCATCAGATACTTTTCACCTTATAACATCTCAGAGGTATAGTGTCTGTCCTCATTAATTTCAGAAGCTGCTAGTAGTCCTTAAACTCTTTCATACCATTACTACTTTTCTTTACCTACCAAGCTTTCCCTGGCCAGTCAAAATGTCTGTTTTCCTTCTTTAAATCTAAACACAAATTATCACTTCTGTCTGCACCCTAGAACTTGTGCTAATATCCTCTCCATTCCTACAGCTCCATCTATTGATACCTTTTCCGCTTCCCTTCCCATTTGATGACAGCATACAGGGCACGTCTACACAAGGTGCTTCATGCGCTGCAGCCTAATAACACTGCGCAGTAGCACGTCACAGCACAAGCAGTGCTAATACACTACTGTGAAGTATTATTAGGCTACTGCACAGTAGCATCATCTAAAAAGGCATTTGCCAGCACTAGTACACAGTAACTCCAGTTACTGTGCATTTAGTTAGTACTTCATCAAGCAGTAACTACAGCTGCATTAATAAATGTGTAGACATGCCCACATTCTGTTACAAAACCACTTATTCACTTGCCCTTCTATTCCCCAAACCCACACACATCCTTCTCCTATAATGGTTGCTACAGCCCCACCACTCAGTATTTTGCATCTGGCAAAATTGGTATGTAAAATCTGTTGCTGATCACCTCTGTATTTATTGATTAGTGTGTGGCTCTTCTGGGGATGGGAAGGAGGGGTGGGAAAAGACTTCCTTGAAAATGTTCTATGGTACTCAACTCCCTTACTATTCTATCTCTACTCTTCCCTCTCTTAATAAAGTATTTTTGGTTTGGGTTTTTTTTCTTCTTAATTTCTCCAAATCCATGTCCCATAGCTATAAGGTCCTTGACCTTCTTTGTTTTGAATTTTGCTCTGGCCACTTCGTACCATTCACTTCTGGGTGATTAATTCCTCGTACTACTTTTTATTTTCCCTAACTTCACATTGTAAACCACTTCATCCACCTGAGCCATTTCCAGTGTCATCCAGGAGTCTCTGGATTCCTTTTGTTGTAGTTCTGCTCCTTCAAATCAGCTGGCTCTCTTTCTTTGCATTTGGTGATCCCACTTTCTCTATGCTGAGCCCCGTCTTTTGTACAGCCTCACATGATTCAAAGCCACTCCACTCTCTTCTTTCTGTATTTAGCTTTTAGGTAAGTGCTAGTAGCTGTACTTAGCACCTGCACCTAGCAGTGTTAGCGTTCATTGAAAAATGCAGAAAAATATTTTTTAATGAAAATGTTGTTGAAATGTTGATTTTTGGAACACTTTGCTCAACAAAAATTTTCCACTGACAAGTCAAAATTAAAAAAATATTTTCAACTGATCAGTTGTTTTTCTACTCATTTTGCCTCAGTAGGTAAAAGGAACTTTGAATTTTCAACTTTCTTAGCTAAATGTTTCTAAGACAGAAGTGCTTCTCTTGAGATAGAGAAACGTCTCCGAACACATCCATCTCTTCTGTCTCTCCTCTTGAGTCCAGACTTTTACTTGCTTCCGTTGTCCATAAGCTTGGTGTCATTGGGCATTTATGGACATCCTCCGGGGAGGGAGGGACATGAGGGGAGGGGAGGGAAATGCTTTAATTAGCATGGCTTTGAGAGCTGTGCTAATTAAAGTGCCTAGAGCATCATGTGTATCAGTGTCCCTGCACTGAAAAATGGTGGTGGGGGCGCTTTAACTAAAGCTCGTCAAACTAGCTTCAGTTAAAGTGCCCCTACCACCATTTTTCAGCATGGGGATGCTGATGCATGTAATGCTGGAGCCTGCTGGAGTGTGGGAATTACCGTGCTCTAGCAGACTCGATTAACTGAGTCTGGTCCAACGTGCTGTAATTACAGCGCGTTGGAGCCACCTCCCTGTATGTGTTCTGTTCATGCTACAGTCTCAGCTCTACCTCTGCTGAAATCCTCACCCATGACCTCATAAAAGTTTGTTGCATATTATATTTTATATATTATATTAGCATATTGTTGGCATCATACAAACAATACATACTCTTCTCAAATGAAAACATCTTCGGCTTTTTTGAAGTATTTTATCAGATTCCAGCATGTACGGCATGCTGCTACCCAGCTTCTCACTTGTCCATACAAAAGTAATCATATTAGGGCATCTTCAAACAACTCAGATGACTCCATGTACGTTTTGTATTCTCATTCAAAACTATGCTCTTTGTCTTTAAACTTTCAATGGCCTTATGTTTAAACTTTAGTGGACATTTCCCAGCTCTTGTTCCACCTCTAAGACATAGCAGGAGCATGTATATGGCTTCTAGCATGTATGTCTATAAACAGAAGCCTTCCTATTCCATCCCATGCAACATCCACAAAACTCCACAAAGATGCCAAGATTCTTTATGCATCTCCATTTTGCCTAGAGTAAAGCATAGAGAATGTGGCATGGGCAAATAAACGTGGGTGACTGCATATGCACAGAAGCAATACAGAACAGCCAATGCAGTGTCTACCTTTGCCTAAGCTCTTCCAAATTAATAGTCTCCCTGAGAAGTACGCACAGTTGGTATGAGTCTCTAGTTCCACAGGTGTGGGGTGGGGAAACATATTAAGTGAAGCTGAGACCTTTGCATAGAATAAGGAACAGGAAAGCCCAGCCACCTCTTTCTGGTTAGGGCATTGGTCTGGAAGTAGGAGACTGGAAGAACAGGCCAGAGGCCTTATTCCACAGCCCAGTGTGGAGGGTATGCTCCTTAGGAAGGAGAGAGCTCTAGGTTTTGGCTTCTGCTCCCAATGCTGTTTATACATGTTGCCTATTTACTATATAATGCAAAATGTCCAAACAGTACTGGGTGGGGGCAGAAGCCAGGACTCCTCTCCTAGGGGAGTGCCTTCTTCACTGAGCTGACTAGTCAACTTCCATCTTGCATATTTTCTTCTAGCCTGAATGAATCTAGCCAAAATTCCTTTCCATTCAAGGGACAACTTCATCAGGAAGAACAGGGGGTGTTTTTGGCACTGCCAGAACCTAGGTATCCCACTTCCTGTGGAAGTACCCAAAGCACTAAGCTGCATAAAAAGTGGCTGGGCCTTCTCCTTCTCACTGCCTTTTAGACGTGCTAATTTATGCAGACATCTTCCCTCTGAGCACATAATGATGGAAGCATGTAACTTTATGCCATGGGAAAGTAGGAGAGAGATGAATTTTCACAGAACAGAGTAGGATCAACCTCTGAAGGCATACCAGCTTGCCCATTTGATAGAGTTGTGTGTTCCTGGGTGGAAGAGAATCTCAATTTTGAGGCACCAATCCTGATGTTAAACACATTATTTTTGGACCAAAGATGGTAAAAACTGAGACATCTTGGAAGAGGAATAGGATCTGGGCCATTGTTTTTTTTCTTCTTTCCTGTGTTTGTTCAGTGGTGGCTTCTTCTGTGCCTTTACACAATCCTAAAGCTACTGGTATGTCAGCCTTTTGTTGTGCATCTTTTGCCCCTTGGTATGGCTATTCTGTATCTCTGCTCCCTCTCAAGTCTCCATCTACTTTTAGAATTTGTTTTTTCCCCCCCTTTCTTCCCTGCCAACTTTCTTTCCTTTGCTTTCTTTTTTTATTTCAATTTGGTTTTTGTGTTACCTTTGCAAAGTGTTTTGCATTATAGTTTGAGAGATGCAGTCTAAAACAAACTTAAGTCATACTTAGAGCCTCTGTCCTCCTCCAACTGGTCTCTTAGATTTGTAGATGAATCTTTGCATCCATGTGAATCCCTAGTGACTTAAGGGGGTGTGGCACAGACCTAAGGTTCTGGCTACATAGTATTCAGTTACAGGTTTATTACCTTAGTTGGGATTTACTGTTTACTGTCTCACAATATGAGAATTAGAGGACATAGAGTGAAATTATTAGAGA